TTCAGACAGCGCTGGCTCTTCAGCTTTGAAACGGAAATGAGCAGCGCCCCCTAGAGTTGGGAACGACTAGCTAATATGTGCGAAGAGAACGTTTACCTTTTTATTGAAATCACAAAAGGCATTCTACATAATTGTAAACACATCTCTTAGAATTCCCTTCTGTCCATTAAAGTAACTGCCATTTCAGCCTGTAAGTAAATGGAGATATTAAGTAAATAAGTAAATGCTACCTCTGGATCACGGGTGTCAAACTCGCATCAGCATGTTTCCATCACATGATATATCGTGACATTTTTCCCCTTCATGAAGCTGGGGTGGGTGTGGTCTGCACGTGATGCATCCAGCTTGCGGGCCACCAGTTTGATACCTCTGGTGCTCTGAATCATTCTTTTGTCCTAAATGTTTTGTTTTTGAATGCTTGCATTGAGTCAGCACAGGTCTTTCTATTGTTGAAAGTATAGTCATGCCCTCACTTTAAGGCATTTCTTGATGAGGATCTTCTCATGCAAACCCTAAGTGGAGGAGGAAGGGCTCATAATATTTTGACATTCTTACTTAAAGCAGGATAATGGAGTGGTCCTTTTCCATCAGGGTTAATGTTTAATAGACCATTTGAGACTCACCTGCATTTCTACAAATAGATATTCATAACAACAGTGTATAATATAACAATGTATAGTTTTAGAGCAAATGAATGGAAAAGAAATGGAACAGGTTTATATGCTTCCAGAAACAAGGTTCTAGAACAGGGGTGTCAAACTCAAGGCCCGTGGGCCAAACTAGGCCTGTAGGATGCTTAGTTCTGGCCCGTGGGGCATCACTCTGGAAACAGTGAAGAATCGGCCCATGGTGCCTCTCCCAGGGAACATGGAGCTCAAGAGCCTGTTTTTGCTGGCACAGCACTCGGGATACAGATGCCCCCACACAAATGATGTCAAGCTGTCCATGTCGACCCTGGCCATACCCACCTCAGCTCCCCAAGTTCAAACACAACCCTGGCATGGTCCTCAATGAAATTGAGTTTGACATCTCTGTTCTAGAAGAAACAAGGGAGGGAGTGAAGATATTTTTTTTTCTCAGGGTCTTAATAAAAGAGGAGCAAGGCAGGATGTTATTGTGGGCATACCTCTTGTACTCATGTACTCATGTGGGGTGTACTCATATGGGGTGAAAGAATCATAGGTTCCAAAATTGAATTTAGGTCATCAGTTCTGACCCCTGCTTAGTGCAAGATTTCAAATTACATCACCATCAACAGACGTTGATTCTGCCTTTTCTAAAAAATAACAAGGAAAGAAATGCACTTTTGTCATCAATTCCTACTGCTAAATACATCTATTTACATATCATGACTTAGTTAGAATATTGTTTTCTAAAATTATTTCCTAAGGAGAGAAGCAACCTAGAACTAAGGAGAAATTTCCTGATAGAACAATTATCCAGTGGAACAGCTTCCCTCCAGAAGTTGTGGATGCTCCATCACTGGAGATTTTTAAAAAGAGACTGGACAACCATTTGTCTGAAATAGTAAAAAGTCTCAAAATAGAGTCTATAATATCAAACTATAGCCTTATATATACTAATATTTTTATATATATTTATATTTGATCTGGCTTAATTAATTATAGCAGTCCGATGATATATTGCAGTTTTATAAAATTTTCACTTGGGTAATATTTTTCTTAAAAATTACGGTA